AGATCTTCCACTGGGGTGCGCCTGAGCCCAGTGGCCCAACGGTCAGGACTGGACCCAGCAGGAGCGGCGGCCACTCGGTGGGGACAAGTCGCTCAGAGCGTGCCGTTCAATGTGGCTCGCGCCAAAGCCCACACGCCCAATCGTGGAGGCGCGCGAAGGACGAGCGCCGTATACCCAAAGAGCAATCTCCGGGGATATGCGAAGCGTGAAGAATTAGTACTATGTGCCTCTGTTGGAGACGCACGCGACCGGCCAAAACATATAGCACGACACGTTGTAGTATATTGACTCCCGAGCGCTAGGGCCAGAAAGCGCCCGCCCCTCAGCTGACAGTGTCAGACTTGCGAGCGTGCGCATCGCCCTCGCGAGGCCAACGCACAGAATTTCAGCCTCAGTCGTTTGGGCGGTGACGACCGCTCTCCTCGCCGGCGGGTGGCGCCCCGTCGCCCGCGGCAGCGCCGCCGTGGCGCAAAGGGGCGTCACGGGCTGAGGGGGAGGGGCGAGGGGGCAGAACGTGACGCCCCCCGGCGCCCCCCCCCCGCCGTGTGGCTCCGGCACCACAGACTGTGGTACCGGACGCACTGCGGCAGTGCCGTGGATGCACTGGGGGGGCGGGGGGGCGCTGGTTGCGTTATGGAGAGGGGGAGGGAGGGGGAGGAGCGTTGCTATGAGGGTGGCGAGCGTCACGGTAATGGGGGGGCGTTACGTTAGGGGGTGGGGCCTAACGCGCGTTATGGCCAGGGGGGCGGAACACTTACTCAGACGGTAGGACCTCAAGAATATGTTTAACTTGCCTGGGGATGTCCTCCTGCCCCCTCCCTTCTCCCACCTACTCCTGCCTCCTCCTTCTCCTCCCGCCTGCTCCTCCTCCTCCTGCCTCCTCTTCCTCTTGCCTCCTCCATCACCTCCTTCTCCTCCTCCTCCTCCTCCTTCTCCTCCTCCTCCTCCTCCTCCTCCTCTCCTCCTCCTCCTCCTCCTCCTCCCCCTCCTCCTCCTCCTCCTCCACCACCACCTCCTCTCCTCCTCCTCCCCCTCCCTCCTCCCCCTCCCCCTCCCCCTCCCCTCCCCCTCCCCCTCCCCCTCCCCCTCCCCCCCCCCTCCCCCTCCTCCTCCTCCTCCCCTCCTCCTCCTTCTCCTCCTCCTCCTCCGCCTCCTCCTCCTGCCTCCTCCTCCTCCTCCTCCCCTCGCCCTCATCCTCCTCTCCCTCACACTCCTCCGCCTCCTCCTCCTCATCCTCCTCGTCCTCCTCCTCGTCTCCATCTTCCTCCCCCCTCCCTCCTCCTTCTTCTCCTCCTCCTCCTCCTTCTCCTCCTGCCTCCTCCTGGCGCCGCCTGGGGACTCTTGCGGCCTCCTGGAGCCTTCTCGGCCTCCCGGGACCTGGTGGGGCCTCCTAGGGCATTCCTCCTCCTCCTCCTACACCACCTCCTCGTCCTCCTCCTCCTCCTCCTCATCGTCATGTTTCCCCTCTGCCTCTCCTCCTCCTCCTCCTCCTCCTCCTCCTCCTCCTCCTCCTCCTCCTCCTCCTCCTCCTCCTCCTCCTCCTCCTCCTCCTCCTCCCGTGAGGTGCGGGAGGCCGATGACCCGCCTCGGATTCGAACATGAAGTGCGGGCCCTATAGAGAGGGGGCTCCCGCCGGAGACTTCCTCGCACTTCACTCACAGACGAGGCTCCCGCCTCATATTTCCTCCATATTCAGGCCTCGGGAGCCGAAAAATGACGACGGTTACAGGAGGCCGATGACCCGCCTCGAATTCGAACATGAAGTGCGGGCCCTATAGGGAGAGGGGGCTCCCGCCTGAGACTTCCTCGCAATCCACTCGCAGAAGAGGCTCCCGCCATATGCTTCCTCCGTATTCAGGCTTCCGGAGTCCAAAAGTGACGACGGTTACAGGAGGCCGATGACCCGCCTCGAATTCGAACACGAAGTGCGGGCCCCATAGGGAGGGGGCTCCCGCCGGAGACTTCCTCGCAATTCACTCACAGACGAGCCTCCCGCCTGAGACTTCCTCCGATGATGAGGACGATGGTGATGGGTGGTGGTGATGATGGTGATGGTGACGATGGTGATGGTGACGATGGTGGCGGGTGATGGTGACGATGGTGATTGGTGATAGTGATGGTGTTCACTCACAGACGAGGCTCCCGCCCGAGACCTCCTCAAGCTGAGTATGCGGTGTGTGAGTGAGTGTGTGCGATAATGACGACGGTGACGGTGGTGATGTGATAAATGATGATGATGATGATGATGATGATGATGATGATGATGATGATGATGATGATGATGATGATGATGATGATGGTGATGATGCGTAGTAGTTGTGAATGAGTGAGTGAGCCACTCAAGATAAGTGAGTGAGTGTGAGTGAGTGAATGAGAGTGGTCGGGCTAATGCGACTGAGTGTGTAAGTGATGCGGTGCTGATGCTGTGATGATGATGTGAGTGGGAAAGTGTGCAAGCGAGAAGAAAGAGGGTGTTCCCTCCATCCTGCTCCTGCGCGGGGTGTCCAGAGAAAACAAGAACCCCATTGGGGATGTGGAAAAAAGCAAAAAAACAAAAAAAAAAAAAAAAAAAAAAAAAAAAAAAAAAAAAAAAAAAAAAACGCTCTCCTCGTCGGGCACGCCGTCGCCGGCGCGGGCCTGCTGCCCGGCGCGAGGCTTGCGGAGCAGCTGGCTGCGAAGCTGGCTCTTCACGCTGCCCACGGCGCCGGCGACGTGGCTGCTCGCGGCCGCGGCGCCCGCAGACACGGCTCCACCCGCCACCGCCGCGCCCCTGCCGACCTGGGTCGCGACCGCGCCGCTCGCGCTAGCAACGGCCGAGCCGCTCGCGCTGGCCACAGCGTCGAAGGACGCCTGCGGTGGGGTCGGCGGCTTCTTCGTGGTCTTCGACTTGGCGGCCGCCTCACTCTCGCCACTGGCCTTCAGGCCGGCCATCCCTCTTGGGGCCGCCGCGTACTCGTCCGGGCTGTCGAGCGCTTTTAGCGCCTTCTTGTCTCCCGTGAGACGGTACCATTGCCTCAGGAGATCTGTCGTCGTTGTGATCTCGCCGTGGCACTTCACCTGTAACTTGTCATCCGCTGAGTCGAAGAGGGCAACGAGCACGAAATCTGTGAAGGTGATTTTGGAAAGCTCTCTCACATAGATAAACTTTGCGATCATAGCGGCGATGCTGGTTGGATTCGCCATCGCCTTGTAGTCGAAGCTCTTTATCAGGCTCGACGCAGAACCCGCAGAGATCAAGAAAAATACAACGACGCTAGCACAGCACGCCACGCTCGCTACCAGGAGCAAGGTCTGGTGCAACTGTACGTTGTCCTTCTTCGCCATGAGCTTCTTCGCCTTCTCGCTCTCCGACATGTTGGCTCCATGCTGTATGTCCATGATCTTGCTGGCACAGAAGAGGACGACTCCGAAATTGACGACAGGGTTGGCAACTACCTGAGCGACGAGACGAAGCGGGCCCTGCGCGAGCAGGGACAGCGACCCCGCGCCACGGCTGACGCGGGCAACGGGGCGCGGCACGTCGCGTGGAGAAGGGGGCCTCCACGCGCGACCTGGCGCGGGAAGCCTGCGCACCAGTGTTGGCGCAGCCGACG